AATATTGCATTTCTCTGTGGACATCCAGGGCTCATGTTTGGAATTAAATAAATATGACTAAACAATTTGATGAAAAACAATTTGCTATTAACTGCCAAGTGGCTTCATTTGTTACACTCGGGCCTATAGGGCCTTGAACCTCTGACCAGTCTTACACGGTCCGCAACAAGCAAGCATGTGCTTTCCCTTCACCTTTTCTCCATTTTTACCTATCAGCTTCTGTTGACTTTGAACAGTTGATAGCATGTATATGTATACTTCAACCATAATTACACCTCTAGATTAATTTAGAAAGCATAAACCTTTGCATTATGTTGGTATTTCTACACAGATAATATCATCTGCAAAGTAGTAGGTCATGATTGTGGTTCCTTATCTGCAGAGAGGCATGACCTCTTGACCACTTTAAAGAAAAATTTTAAAATAATTAACCTTCGCGTAACCAGCTTATCAAAGTCATGATGTATTTTAATTTGCTGCTTGTCTGGACCTTACCTTTTATGTTAATTTTTTGAGTAGATTTTCGTGTTGGGAGAACAAATCTGTATCAATATATCATGATATTTTTCAGCTTAAATATCTTCTACGTCTTTCTTAATTAACCATTGCTTAGAATCTCTTCTCTTCACTGTAAAGTCTTATTGTTGTTGTTCTTATAACGTGCCTTCAAGTTGTACCCAACTCAGCGACTATGTCCACAAGAGTAGGAATCACTGCATCATCTTCACAGTTGTTATTACGTTTGAATCCATTGTTACTGCAACTTCATTCCATCTTCTTGAGGGTGTGACTTTCCACTTCACCAAGAATGAAGGCCTAATTAAATTCTTGTTGTATATTTTATAGTTGGATCAGTACTGCAAAGAGTTTTTATCTCTCTGGTAACTCTGTCATGATTTCAGGGTTTCTCAGTTTTTATTCCTGTTATGTACATAGCCTATCAATTGTATACTTAGGTAATTGCCTAAGAATGTGTTGAAGGTAAATTAGAGATTGCTTGCATTTCAGAGAACATATTATTTAACATTTAATTGATTGTGTGACTCAGTATAGAATTCTAGAGTTAAATCAGTATTTCCTCAGATCTTTGAAGGAATTGTTCTGTTATATGCCATTATGGAGTGCTGTTAATAATCAGTTCTATACCACTCTCAGTGTTTTTCCTTGTTAAGTAATACATTTTTCCTCTGAAAATATTCAGGCTCTTCTTTTATCTATGTTATTATTGTTTTTAAGTGCCCTCAAATTGGTTCTGACTAATAGTGACCCTTTTTAGGATTTCCTAGGAGTGGCTGGTGGATTTGAACCACCAACCTTGCGGTTCAAACCAATATCGCAGTCAAGTGCTTATCCTACAGTGCTGTGCCAGCTGCTCTGAAATATCACAACATGCTTACGTATTGGTCTTTGCTGATTTCTGTATTGATAATTGGGGGAACAATTTACTTTTGGAGAAAGAATTCGGTGGACTTGAGAAATGGTTACGTAGTATACTTAAAACCTGATGATCGGACAGAGGGAGGATGAAAAAGTGGGAGATATCAAGAACAACACACTGGTTTCTGACTTAAAGCTTGGATGGGATCACAGGAAAGGGAGTGTTGAGGTACCAATCTGACTGTTCAAATGTCACCTCTTTTGCCCTGTTTCTTTCTTCTCTCTCTCTTAGTATCTCTCTCTCTCTCATAGTATCTCTCTCTCTCATAATCTCTCTCTCTTTCTCATAATCTCTCTCTCTCAAAGTTTGTCTCTCTCTTATAATATCTGTCTTTAAATCGTATCTCTGGAGTCCTGGTGTGGTGCTACAGGTTAATGTGCTGGACAAAAAATCAGTTTGAACTACAAGGAACACCTGGTAGGTTTGAATTACCAACTGTGTGGTTCACAATCCAGTGTTGATCCTAAAGTGCCACACCAGGTGCTGATGTTGTTGTTGTTAAAGTGCCGTTGAGTAGGTTCTGACCCATAGCGACCCTATAGGGTTTCCAAAGAGCAGCTTGTAAGCTTGAACCGCCAACTTTGTAGTTCACATGATTTTGTAGTCTGGTGCATTAACCCACAGTGCCACACCAGGACTCCATAGCAGTGTGTAATTTAAACAATAATTTAAAATTTAAACAATAATTTAAAATATAAGCAATAATTTAAAATTTATGAATGCTCTCATTTGTTTCATTTTTACATAGTATTGTTCTTAAAAAATATGAATACTGCTGGTAGAAACAGCCTGCCATGGCCCTTGAGCATCCCTCTGTGTGTTCTTGCTGAGTATGCTTAAGAATGTAAGGGCCTGAAAACTCTTTACCTGTGCAGTTTTTCGGGGTTATATGTGCAGTGAGTAGCCTTCAGGAAAGGGATAATGGTTCCCAGTGGAGAAAGTACAGGCTTGTTATCACTTTTCTGGTAAAACACTGAATTACTTAAGCTCATGGTTTTTCTGTGGGTGCAGGCATCCTGTGGGTCCAGGCATCCTGTGGGTCCTCTCGTGTCACCCTTGAAACTTGATGCATAGTGAAATGATGTAAATAAATATGAAGTAATAAAATCATTCATCGCTGACCTAAGAGTTTTGTGTCTACTGCTAGTATCCATGAGTAGTAATAGACTAGCTTGTTGGCTTGTATATAAGGTAAAATCTCAGCCTCTGCACTGCTCTTTCTCTTTTATAAGAATATTTTTTCCTTTGTCAGAGTTCTTCTGCTAATTGTTTGAAATCTTTCATTGGCTGTTGATTCCACTCCAAGTCTCTTTATTACTGGGGGTTATTCACTTTTTATTTCTTTACTGCTGGCTTTGGAAGATGGAGTAGATGAACTCTTGTGCACAAAGGCCTCTCATTTTTCATTTATTTATTGCTTGTTTTTATTATTTTGCTTAAGTCTTTCCACAATATCACGTCTCCATCTCTACTCTATCCCTACACTTAAATATCAAGCTTTTTGATATAGAGAATCAATAAAAAGTCCATTAGGATTAGGTGCAAAATGCTTGTAGAGGAAGGTTAGCCCTTTCAGTTAGTATAAAGCACAAAATCAAGTAAATAGATTTCATGGGGTATAGTGCTCAGAGAAACTTCTGTGTACTTTTAGATTTGAGAGTAGCTGTGTTTTAGATAAATGGAAAAAATATAAAGGTGCATTATAACTGTATTTACAATTTTGAAAATAAAATTGCCTCATGATTTTTGTTTCTCTGTTAAACTAAACTGCCAGAATTAAAAAAAAACAACAAAATTGCTCTGTGCCCTTTACTAAAAAATCACTGAGGATCTAAGTTACGTCTATTGCCATGAAAGATGCTATAAAACATTGTTTTTCTCTTCAAATAAGAGCTAAACTTTACTTAATTTTGCAACTAGTTAACCTTTACCCTTGCAGTGTAAACGCAGACATTGGTAATATATAAATGAATCAATGGGATTGTGTTGCAGTAACACTTTCTATATGAATGCTGACGTCTGAATTTAATATAATTTAATATGCCATGGAATATTATTATTTTATTTAATTTTACAACAGCCATTTTAAACTATAATCCATTTTTAAGGTTCATACAAAAACAGGCAATGAACTGAATTTGGCCCACAGGCTAATTCTTGCCCTGGAATTAGCTGTTTTATTAAAACCTTGGTTAATGCTTGGATACTGATATGTTTCTACTCTGCCCCATTGTCTTTATTAGGCAAGCTAATGAAGAATATCAAATACTGGCTAACTCCTGGCGCTATTCATCTGCTTTTTGTAACAAACTTTTCTTCAGTATGGTGGACTATGATGAGGGTACAGATGTTTTTCAACAGGTAAAAGTGTTACATTTTACTTTGGTAGTATGTTTTATAGTTGGTTGATTGGTTGATTTAAGAAATGTTTTGCTTTACCAGATAAAAATATAATAAATACACTATAATAAATTATGTAATGTGATTAAAATAATTGCACCTAATGTGAACTTTATCATTGCTTAGACAATTTTGCAATGAGTCAATATTGAGAACACTTAGACTTTTTGTACAAGAAATACATCTTTTCAACAGGTGGTAGTAGTTTGCATTTAGTATTGTAATTTTGGTATTTAATTGTATGCGACTTAGTTTAATTATACGTGACTTTGATGTTGTTATCAAATCCAGCATGAGTTGTTGTTATGTGCTGTTGAGTTGGTTCTAACTCATAGCGACCTTTTATAGTGTTTCTGGGGAGCAGTGGTGGGTTTGAGCTGCCGACCTTGCGGTGCAAATCGACCTTGCGTTCCAGTGCTTATCCTATAGCGCTGCACCTGGACTCTGTATGTCACTTCATTGTTGTGAAGTGCCGTTGAGTCGATTCCGACCCATAGCAACCCTGTATAGGGTCAGGAACAGCTGGTGAGCTTGAACCACCAAACTTGCAGTTCAAATGACTTTTTAGTCTGACACATTAGCACATATAATTGAATACCAGAGTTACATTGATTTTCTGTTTTGCACACATTTATGAGTAATTTTATATTTTGCACAAGTTTATTAAGTTTTAATTAAACTTCTCCCCAAGTTTTTACTTAGTGTTTACTTCTTCAAAAGTACTATGTACAGAGAATTTTACTGTAAAGTGTTAAAATAGTTATTTAAAACGGCTTACTTTCTTTTACATAGTCTTTTCTGTGGAGCAAAGGATGTATTGAATTGTGGCCTAGGCATGCTGATTTCCATCAGTGTTCTTGCCATGATTGTGTCATCATCACTGGTATTAGTGTATTAGTGCTTATGTGTCACATATTGTTCTGAATGTTTCACAGTTATTATTTATCTTCGCAATTCAGTAACAAAAAATAATTGATGTTATCTCCCATTTAAGAGATATGGAAGCCAGGATATGGAGAGGCTAAGTTGCTTGCCCAAAGTCTAATGTGGAGCGAGAGTTTGCATCTGACACACTTGCACCCAAAATTCTAGTATTAAATCATGCTATGACCTTGCAATTAATAATCTTTATGTTTATCACTCTTAATCAATTCCTTTCAAATGAAAAAAGTTATTGCAGTACGTGTGCCTAATTGGTTTGGATATCTTGCCCAATTTCATTTTTGTCACATATGAGACTGTGTAGCACAATGCTTCATCAGGTCATGGAAAAACATTTAATTATGAGAAGAATTGAGTTCGCTGATTGTAAATGAATCTATAGTGAATATTTTGCTTGTTTCTTGATTGGTTAATTGGGCATACGTTTTTGCCAGTTTCTAGTTGAGTATGATAAATTCTCTCTTGCCGTCATTACCTTTTACCTTTGGTTTTTCTTATTCCTAATCATTTATTTCTTCTCCCATAAACTGTTTTGGCCTTTATTAGATATTTCCATATGCACTCATTTAACAAGTGTAGTAATGGAAGTAATGATGGTTGAGCAAATACAATAATGATGGTGACAATAGTATTGTGTTGTTATTTTTGTTAGGAACTCGAGTTAGGTATGAATCGTAGTGACTGAACAATAGAAGGAAACACTGACTGATAAGTGCCATCCTTAGAATTGTTGTTGTGTTTAAATCCATTGTTGCTACCACTGTGTCAGTCCATTTAGTTGGGAGCCTTCCTCTTTTGCTCTGACTCTACAGTTTTCCAAGTGTGATGTCTATCTGCAGGATTGATTCCTTCTGAGAATATATTCAAAGAGCAAGAGACAAAGTCTTAACCATCCTCACTTGATTCCTTCTGAGAATATATTCAAAGAGCAAGAGACAAAGTCTTAACCATCCTCACTTCTAAGGAGCATTCGGGGTTTACTTTCTTCGTAACATAATTGCTTGTTCTTTTGGCAGTCCATTGTATTTACCACATTCTTAGCTACTACCATAATTCGAAAGCATCAATTCTTATGTGGTCTTCCTTATCCATTGTACAATTTTCACATGCGTATGAGGTAATTGAAAATAAGGTGGTTTGGGTCAGGCACACCTTAGTTCTCAAAATGACATCTTTGCTCTTGAATGCTTCTAAAGATGTCTTTTGCATCACGTTTGCCTAATGCACTACATCCTTGGATTTCTTTCTTTCTTCATTTTAAAAATTCTTTATTATTTGAAATCATCAAATGCTAACTGTTGAAAAAATTTTTAAAGAGCAGCATGAACACTCAACAGTATAAACCCTGGATTGCTAACCACAGGTCTGAGGCTTTCTAGCCTCATCAAGATTTACAGCTTCAGAAACTCCACACAAGGTCACTCTGAGTCAGGATCTATTTGGCATAGTGGTTTATATAAATACGCAGAACATATACCCTGCTTTAAAAAATTGTAATATATTATCATCACTTAATATCATAACATTTAATATTCTTTCTTAAACCAATTTTGTAAATGATTGCATAAATCCATTTCTGTAAAATGTAATATAATTTTATTTGACAATATCTTCACAGAAATTGTTTTTGATTCCTCACTATTATAGTTAATGTTTTAGTGAGCATTTTGGTATGTAAATACTTGAATCTCTGATTAATTCCTTAGGATATATTCATAGAGCTGGGTTTACAGTATCTGAGGGTTTTGAATTTGTAAAAGAAATTAATATAACAAGTTTAAATTCCCTTCACCACTGTATGAAAGTACGAATCTTAGTCATTTAATTTCTTGATTACTGCTTCCATGAATGTTAATTATGGATCCAAACAAAATAAAATCTTCGATACCTTTAATCTTTTCTCTGTTTATCAGGATGTTATTTTTTGGTTCCAATTGAGGAATTTTGTTTTCCTTACATTGAGGTGCAGTCCATACTGAAGGCTGTTGTCTTTGATTTTCATCAGTAAGTACTTAAGTCCTTTTGGCTTCCAGCAAGCAAGATTATATCATCTGCATATCACAGGTTGTTAATGAGTCTTCCTTCAATCCTGATGCCATGTTGTTGTTGTTAGGTGCCATCGAATTGGTACCAATTCATAACGACCCTGTGCACAACACAACGAAACACTGCCCGGTCCTGGGCCAACCTCACAGTTGTTGCCATGCTTAAGCCCACTGATGCTGACACTTTGCCAATCCATCTTGTTGGGGGTCTTCCTCTTTTTCTCTGACCCTCCACGTTACCAAGCATGACATCCTTTTCCAGTGACTGGTCCCTCCTGACAATATGTTCGAAGTATGATAGATGAAGTGTGGCCATCCTGGCCTCCAAGGAGTACTCTGGCTGCACTTCTTCCAACACAGATCTGTTGGTTCCTTTGGCAGCCCATTGCACTTTCAATATTCTCCTCCAACACCGTAACTCAAAAGCATCAATTCATCTATGGTCTTCCTTATTCATTGTCCAGCTTCACATACCTCTGAGGTTATAGAAAACACCATGGCTTGGGTCAGGTGCACCTTAGTCCTCAAGCTGACATCTTTGCTCTTCAACACTTCAAAAAGGTCTTGTGTAGCAGATTTGCCTAATGAAGTACGTTGTTTTATCTCTTGACTGCTGCTTCCATGAGTGTTGATAGT